GGACAAGGAGACACGTGGCAACAACAGGTTGCGGGTCAAACGCGCGACTTCTTGGTCTTGTGGAGTCCTGGAATGAGCTCATTGAAGGTAGCCTCGAACTGGGCCTGGTCAGAGGAGCTAGCGGTACAGCAGGCGAGGTCATAGAAACTCTCGATCTCCTCGGCAGTGAGCTGTCGCTCGGCCAGGCGTGGGACAACGCGACGTGGAGTCCGATCATCACTAACGCCAGCAGCTTCAGCAGTGTCCATGGCAGCACCTGGGTCATCCTCATCGTCCGAGTCAGCGACGGGGACGGCAGCCGCGAACGTCTTGCCAACCTGGGCCTCAAACGAGGAGAGTAGCAGTCCAGCCTGGTCACCCATGCCTTTGACGAGCTCCTGGACCTGCGGCGGGAGCTCAGCCTGGCTGAACTTGAACGGGTGGTGGCCCATCGCCTTCGCGGGGGCCACCGCCTTGGCCGTGGCCGCGAACTCCTCCTCCAGGGTCGCAATCTCCACGGTCTTGGCGACGATGGCAGCACTCTTGCTCTCCAGCGCCGTCTGGAGGTGCTGGAGCTGCGACTGCAACTTGTCGCGGTCCTGCGTGAGTTGCTTGAGCATATTCCTCGCATTATTGAGCTTGTCTTGGGCTCGACGGTGTGCATTGTCAGGGGACTGGCACTTGTCGAGGCGTTCACGGAACTGGGCAGCCTTCTGTGCAAACATACCCTTCGCAGAGGCAGGGGCGTGCGGGTCCTTGGCGAGCTTCTCAAAATAGGCCACCTGGGTCTGGAGGTCCTCACCCGAGTCACCATCAGCCGCATCAGCTCCTTCATCTGTGCTGGCACTCGGGTTTGACGGGCGGAGCTGCGACTGGAGCTCCGAGACCTGCTTGCGAAGCTGGAGCAGCGTGTCCTGAGCCCACGGTGCAAGGGATGCGGGACCCTGGCGCCTGCCAGGAGGTGCAACCGATCGGCTGGGCGGCTCGGCGCTGGCGTGGGCCTTCTTCGCTGCAGTGGGGACCTTCTGCGGGGCACTCCGTCCACAGCGGCATCGGATCCTTGACGCCCAGTTGCGCTCCGACCCACACGCGCAGCTCCACAGCGGAGTGCGCGGGCCGTGGAGAACGTCGGGGAGCGGTGGCACCATGGGAGATCCTGGAGCTCGGGGACAGAGGGTGCAGGTGCCCAACTCCTGCGGTATAGGCGAGGAAATTCGTAGTCTGGCCGCGGACTAGCGGTATCCGTGTTGGCCCCAAGGGAACCTGACATCTTGAGCCAAAATGGCTACGGAGGGACCAGGAGGAGGAAGGAGGGGAGGTGGAGGAGGAGGACGAAGAGGAGCGGGGATGGAGGAGGAGAGGGGGACGAAGGAAGAGGTGGAGGAGATGGAGGAGGATGGGGGGGATGAAGGAGGAGGAGGAGGAGGAGGAGACGGAGGAGGAGGAGGACGACGAGGAACAAATCCTGAAGTGAGTGGAGGCGGTACGGGGGAGCTGGCTCGGGGGGAAACCATCTACCTGGAACCAGCGATGCATCGCCGATAGATCGGCGATGGACCCCCCGGCCCGCGCGCTCCCGGGCGGCGGTGGTGGGGGCCGTCGGACCCCTCCTCGGCGATGAAAAGAGCGATGGAGGGTCGGTGCGCTTCCGCCTGGACCGACCCCCCCCCCCAGAAAGCTACCCACTGGTGCTCTGAGGGGCAACGATAGGGGGGGATAGGCAGGGGGGGGATGCATCGACCTGGAATCGGCGATGCATCGTCGACAGATCAGCGAGACAGGCCTCCGCTAGCGAATCCGCACCCTCCTGGGCAGATGGGGGCTATCGAGCCCCCATCGGCGATCAATGGGCGATTGCGCGTCGATGCATCCCCCCCTGTGCCTCTCCCCCCCTGTCGTTGCCCCCGAGGATAGAGGATAGATAAGAGAGGAGGCGGAGGAGGAGGAGGAGGAGGAGAATGGAAGAGGAAGGAGGAGGAGGAGGATGTGGAGGAGGTTGAGGAGGAGAGGATAGAGGAGGAGGAGGAGGAGAGAGGAGGAGGGAGGAGGAGGAGGAGGAGGAGGAGGAGGTGCCTCTCCCCCCCTGTCGAGGAGGAGGTGCCTCTCCCCCCCTGTCGCTGCCCCTGGCTGGGTCGCAGCTCGCTCCTCCGGCGCCCGCTCGGGGGACGACCTCGGCACCCCCGCGGCGCCCTCGGCGAGGCGCAGGGCCGCGCCGGAGGGCGGCCCGAGGCCGGGCGGCCGCCGAGGACCCGCGGCAGAAACCCCAACCTGGAGCCACGATCCCCTCCTCCTCCACCTCCTCCTCCACCACCACCACCTCCTCCTCCTCCTCCTCCTCCTCCGTCTCCTCCTCCTCCACCTCCTCCCTCCTCCTCCTCCATCCACACTCCTCCTCACCTCTCCCTCCTCCTCCACCTCCTCCTCCTCCTCGTCCTCCTCCTCCTCCTCCACCTCCTCCTCCTCCTCCGCCACCTCCTCCTCCTCCTCCTCCACCTCCTGCTCCTCCTCCTCCTCCTCCTCCCATAATCGGGGGCGCGGCAAAACATGGATTAGCGATGCATGGACTTGGCGCGCGATTGCCAAATCCATGGCTCGGGGGAGGTGCCCTCCCCCAAAACGCGGCCGGCTCGCTCGGCGGCGGAAATCCGCGACTCCCCACTGAAACAGGACCCGTCGCTAATCCACGCCCCCCTTGATCCATGTTTGTGATCGCCTGACATATGGGGTCCGGGTAGACGAAGCCTCCCCTGGATCGCGCCACATCGCGGATGCATCGGCGATGCATCGGCGACGTCGGCGGTGCATCGGCGACGTCGTCGTGGGGAAACTTGGGCTCCGTATCGAGCCGCATCGCAGATGCATCGGCGATACGGCGTTATCCTCCGACCCTATCTGCTCGGACCCCATCTGGAAAGCCTAACCTGAACTTCTCCGCCCTCGCCCCCGATGGAGCAGCAAAAGGAACAATCAGAGGGGACTGGCGCGGGAACGCGGGAGGGGGAACATCGACGTGGAATCGGCTATACATCGCCGATACGCCCGTGACAGCAAATCCGCACGCTCCTGGGCGGGGTGGGGCAATCAGACCCCTATCGGCGATCAACGGGCGATTGGGGGTCAATGCGTTCCCCCTGTTGGACATCCGAATTATCCAGGGTAGTTCTGGTCCGGGGAAACTCCGGTTTGACCCCCCCCGAGGAGGATGAGGAGGAGGAGGAGGAGGAGGAGGAGGAGGAGGAGGAGGAGGAGGAGGAGGAGAGGTAGGAGGAGGAGGAGGAGGTAGTAGGAGGAGGAGGGGCTCCTCCTCCTCCTCCTCCACCTTAGGTACCCCTGGCCACCTTCAGCCCCGATGATTCGGGAGCGGTTGGACGCCGCCGAACTCTCGGGGAGAACTCCCGTCCAGGGCAACTCCAGTCTGGGCCCGCGAAGCACGAAGCAAGGGCGACCCTGGACCACCACCAGCCCCGACGATTCGGGGATCCGACCCTATCGTTGCCCCCTGAACCCAAACCCCGACGTCATGATCTGTTCCTGACGGCGCCCCCCCCCCCCCCCACAAGGCTCGACCCGTTCCCCAGGACCGGGATCGCAGTCCGAGAAGACGGCGAGGGCGGATAATCCCCCACGAGCGGGCGTGACACGCTTCGGGGCTCGTTGATAGCACGATTGCCTCGAGCGCCGGAGTGGAGGGGAAGACATGAACAGGTGCGCGGGCAAGTCTTCGATCTGCGCCCAGATGGCGCATCGAATGCAAACCAGCTGCATCGGCGCGCGGCGCGCGCCTGATTCCACGGCTGACGCTCGCCCCCTGGCCTGGATACCAGTACCGGGAAAGAGATCTGGGCACGCACTGCGGCGCGGGGTGGCGACTCGCGCGGAGGATTGGAGCGTCGGGAGACTTCGGCCAGGGGCGGCAACGCCTCGCGGCATCTCCCCTCGTGTGCCACGCACGAGACACCGCGGGAACTTCGCAGTCGCAGGGCACGTCGACAGCGGGGCACCAGGGCCCCCTTGCTCCCCCCAGAGCACAGAGTAGACACATGCAGCGGAAACTGAACACATGCAGCCCCGGCTGAATACACGTAACCAAACACGAGCACATGTAATCGAAAAGGCACATGGCAACCTTATGCAAATCAGGGGAGATCGATACGCGCAAGCGAAACTGAATCGATGTGCTCGTTTCTGCTGCACCCACGGCATCCCTACCACCCCGGCGCCCCGCTTCCGGCGCGCGGCCCACCTGGACAAGGTTCCCCCCGCGGCCACCCGCTGGGAAGAAACCGCGCTGCCCCGCCGCCCCTTGCTGCGATCTCTTGGCACCGCGCCGCCCGCAGAGCGCGACGCTGCGCTCGCCGCGGTGGACGCCCCCATCTCCGCGCCGCAGCGGACACCGCCACCAGGGACAGCGGGCGTCACGAATGGTATCGCGTTCACTCCGCGCGCCATCGCATGTGGTCAGCGCCGTCGATGCCGCGATCTTCGGTGCGCCCTGTCCGCGCCAATCCGAAACCTGCGCGCCGCGCCGGTTCAAGTCCCCAGCCCCCGCACCCTGGCGCTCGAAATAATATTGCCATTGCCGGGCCCCGAAAAGTGTAAACGCCCGCCCTGAGGGCTATCGGCCCTCATCGTCTCCTCCGATTCATCCAGATTATTTCTAAACTTCCCTGGGTCCCAGCGAAGGTACCCCAAAGCTGAAAATTACGAAAAACCTCCCCGTCGTCATTTTGTCAGGACCCGAGGTGGTCTGGGAAGAATAGGGGAACGAAACGTGGCATAAACATAAAAACTCGGAGGCCCGCGCGGATTTCTCGTATCCGCGCTGGGCCCCCCTGGCGGTGCCTCCAACGCCGCCCCTGGCGCGCTCCGAGAAATTCGCGCGGACCTCCGAATTTGTATGTTTAAGTCATTCTTCGTTCCCTGGAGGAAGCCCCCGAGGAGGAGGAGGCGGAGGCGGAGGAGGAGGCGGAAGAGGAGGAGGACGAAGAGGAGGGAGGAGGAGGGATGAGGAGGCCCCCGACCTCTGTCGGCGGCGCGTCGCCCTACGGCCCGCGTGGCCGCCCCGAGCGCCGCCAGCGCCGCAAGCGCGGCCGCAGAGCATATGCCCGCCGCCAGCGGCGCGCGGGAGCCCGGGGCTCCAGCGGTCTCTGGCCTGCCGTCGGCCCCCCTCCTCCTCCTCCTCCTCCTCCTCCTCCTCCTCCTCCTCCTCCTCGGCCTCCTCCGCCTTCTCCTCGTCCTCCTCCTCGTCCTCCTCGTCCTCCTCCTCCTCCTCCTCGACCTCCTCCTCCTGCTCCTGCTCCTCCTGCTCCTGCTCCTCCTCACTCCTCCTCCTCCTCCTCCTCTCCTCCTCCTCCTCCTCCTCCTCCTCCCTCCTCCTTCCCCTCCCTCCTTTTCCTCTCCTCCTCCTTTTCCTCCTCCTCCTCCTCCTCCTCCTCCTCCTCTCCTCCTGCTCTGCTCCTGCTCCTGCTCCCGCTCCTGCTCCTGCTCCTGCTCCTCCTGCTCCTGCTCCTCCTCACTGAGAGTCACTCCTCCTCCTCCTCCTCCTCCTCCTCCTCCTCCTCCTCCTCCTCCTCCGTAGCCATTTTGGCTCAAGATGCCTAGTTCCACAGGGGAACAAGTGGATACCGCTAGTCCGCGGCCAGTGCCAGGGCTCTTGAGCCCGACAGCTTTGTTCAACTCTCCGGGTGCCTCCTGCAGCCCGCAGGTGAGCTTCCTCAGTCTCTCTCGTCCATGGCGCCTCCGCAGCAGCGCAGCGCCTATGTCAAGTGCTACTCCTGCTCGTACTCCTGGAACTACAAGACCAACCAGACGTGCTACTGGTGCAGCAAAGCCTTGGCGCCGTGGACAGACTCCCCGCCTCCAGTTCAAGGCGCCTGGGCGGCCCGCGCCAAGGCCGCAGCCCAGGCCGACTCCAGCTGTACCCAGCAGCACAGCCCCGAGACGGGATGGGAACCGTGGTCGTCCTGGCCCAAGTCCCGCCGCCGCCGAGGCAATGGCAATGGCAAGAACCAAGAGGACGACTGGTGGGCCAACAACAAGAACGACACCCCCAAGGTGCGCTCCGCAGAGGACATCCTTGCGGAGCTCCAGGCGATCGCCCCCCACATCGACAAGGCTGCCATCGACGGTATCAAGTCGCAGATCCCGCCGCCCCAGCCGCAGAAGCCAGCCGACCTCAACGACATCTACAGCCGCGCCCAGGCCACGGAGCGCCGCTGCAAGAACAACCTGGAGAGGCTGCTCGAGAGTGAGCAAAAGGCGCTCAGCTGGTACACCGAGCGCAAGGCGGCGTCGGAGGAGGCCGCCTACAAGTTGGCAGAAGCCCAGGCCGAGGCCCAGGCTGCTCTCGATGCCCTTCAAGTCGCTCGCAAGGGCGGCACGGCTACTCCCACGGCCTCGCAGAACCCGACGTTCAACCTCACCAGCCTCCTCGAGGACGGTGACATATCCATCGAAGCGGGTTCGGCGTTCGATCTCCAAGGCCTCGACATCGACGACAGCGATCGCCAGGCATGGGAATCCCTTCAGCAGCGCTTCGCCACTGAGCTCAAGGCCAAGGCCACCGAGCTCTTCGGCAACACCGCCAGCCGCATCAGCCAGCTCCGCACGGAGGCCAGCACCATGCGCACGCGCTTCGCCGCCAAGCGTCAGCGGGCCGACGAGGACGGTCACGCCCGAGAGGGAGGTGGATCTCCGCCCGCTGCCTCGGCGGCAGCAGGCGAACCCCCACCGGCAGCCGCAGCGGACGTTGATGGCTCTGCGGCCTCACCGACAGCGGCGACAGGCGACGAGCCTCCCGCACCTGCTGCTGGCGCTACTTCTGACGGCAGCGTCGTTGCACAGCCTATACCAGCGATCAACAAGGACCCCGACCTCGAAGACAAGGCACAGAAGATGCTCAGCCAGTTGCGCAAGCCCACCGCGACCGCCGCGGCTGGAGCGCAGCAGCCTCTTTAGCCGACTACTACCCGACCCTGGACGGAATGGTGAGACGGGGCGCCTACCGTCAGAGACCAAGAAATACGACAACCCACCGATCATCAACACAATGGACGCAGTCCTCGACCCGTTCGACGAGCTGGCCGAGTTGGACGCCCACATCGATTTCGCAGCCACAGTTCAGTTTGCTACCGCCCCGCCCGAGACGCTGTCCTCGGCTGGGGGCGATGAGGCGGCACAGTCCGTCGACGCAGTATCATGGGACCCAGGGCAGCCGCAGCGTGCCGCGCGAGCCGACCCTGATGCCGCTCCGCCCGAGACGCTGTCCTCGGTAGGGAGTGATGAGACGGCCCAAGCTGTCGACAAGCAGTTGGTACAGGAACCAGGGGATCAGGTGCCAATGGCACACCCTGATGCCGCCCCGCCCAAGACACAGTCCTTGGTAGGGGGCGATGAGATGGCGGAAGCCATCGACTCGACCGCTGTGGAAGGCCCATGGAAGCCCAGCAGCGCCCGAGACCCGTCCCAAGACGAAGGCGCCGCCGTCAGATCACTCCCTTTTCTTCTCCAACATTACCCAGTGGGGGCCACAGTCGGAGAAATGGTTGGCAGGACCAGGCAAACAATATCAGATGGTGGCATTGGTTGAAACACACATCTCGCACGGTAAGGCCCCTCTCATCTACGACAAGCTAGCAGCAGATGGTTGGAGGATATCATCGACTACAGCCACGCCGACCAGCAGATCCGACGGAGGCAACACGGGCGGCGAGATTATCCTCTCCAGGTACCACGTCCAGGCCACAACCTTCAACCACCTCCGCGACCTGGCCATCTCCCAGCGCAGGCCCGACCCGTTCCGAGGCTTCACGCCCATGGTATGGCACAGACGCTCGGGCAACCTGGTCGTTATTGCAGCATACCTGGAACCCCACAGGCAGATCGAGGGTGCAGTGCACGATAAGCTACTTTCGCTGGGGGCCTTCGTTACTATGCTCACTGACCCTTGGATCATCCTGGCCGATTGGAATATGACTCCTGAGCAGCTCGCAGCGACAGAGTGGCCCGCCAAATGGAATGCTACCATCGTGCGAGCGCCTGGATCTGCCACGTGCGACAAGGGCCAGGGGCTCACGCTCGACTTCGCATTGGTCAAGACTGGCATCGAGCACACGATCTCCATTCGCCAGTGCCCCACCGTCCCCTGGGCCACCCACGTGGGCCTTGAGGTTCGAGCAGGCAGTGCAGACCCCTGGTGGTATCAGTCGATCCATACCCCCAGAGCATTCCCCACAGTGGACAGACCCAGGATCCCACCCGACCCCAACAGCAAGTCCGCCATCAAGAGACGCAAAACAGCAGAAGCTCGAGCAGCACGCCTACGCGAACTACCTCCTGAACTCCAACAAGCAGCAGCACAACTCCAGCCTCAAGACGAGCCCGCAGCACAGGAGCCTATCCCTTACGCTATCCCGACCGACCTCTGGGAGGAGCATGGCAGCAAGCAGTACCCACACGTTGTAAGCAGCCCCACGCGCACTTCGTGTACACTCACTGGGCGCACGACGCCGACGACCTCAACCTCAAGTACGCCAAATGGGTCACGGCGCTCGAGAACACCATGATCAGCCACCACCAGATCGACCCCAAGGAAGCCGCAGCTTTCACAGGCCGTGCCCAAGGCTACCAATTGTCCTGGAAGAAGACGGCCGCCGCCCCAGGCCGCGTTCACGTACACGACCCTCAGTCAGAATGGTGGGCAATCACGCTCACCCTCATCAAGCGCTACGCTGCGCTCCACGACAAGCCCAAGCACACGGCGCTCATGCAGCAGCAGGCCTCCATCATCCAGCAGCGCGCGGACCACTTCAGCGCTCACTTTCACGACCTCCAGTTCGAGAAGGACGAGGACACCATCTTCCGCTGGTTTGCACTCGTTTGGGCCCCGCACTTGGACAACCAGGACACCGACGACTTGGTCACCATTACTGCTACTTGGGCCTCCAGAGCGCTTTCCGCCGCCCTCGCTAAGTCCAAGAGGGCCTACGGCGCCTGGCTCGCCAAGCAATGGAAACACCGCCCTGGAGTACTACACGCCCATGTCAAGCCAGCGCCCGTGCGTCACATCGAGGCCTACACGACCAACCTGACCATCGCCGATCCCACCGTTATCATGGACAGCAAGAAGCAACATTGGCAACAAGTATGGCAGGCCACCAACCGCTCGAGCCCATCGCAGCCGAGATCGTACATCGCTTTCATGGCCGCATGCCACCCAGTAAAGCACATGGAGTGGACGCACTTGGGCCTCGCGACCTCCATCGACTACCAGAACCAGCAGTCGAAGCCTATGCGGATATCCTCAACGCAGTAGAGCAGGCAGGCATTTGGCCACTACAAATCTCAGGCACTATTGCAGCCCTAGCAGCCAAGAAGTCTGGAGGCGACAGGGTCCTCGGCATGCTACCTCACATGGCCAGACTCTGGTCTCGCATCAGATCGACAGCATCTACTTCTTGGACCCAAGGACTGGATGACTTTTGGACTACAGCCATCAAAGGCTCCTCAGCTCTCCAGGCCGCCCTGCACAGGGCCTTGTTAGACGAGACAGCCTCAGCACTTGGTATACAGTCAGCCACATTGCTATTGGACATCCAGAAGTTCTACGACAATATCAAGCTCGCCAACCTCATCATGGTCGGCCTCAACTGCGGCTTCCCACCCATCGTTCTACTTCTGGAAGTACAGCTATACCTCGCGCCCAGATTCTTGCGCAGCCGACAATGGGTGAGTATGCCTATCTTCGCCTCCAAAGGCATCATCGCAGGCTCCCCGCATGGCACGACCTTGGCGCGACTCATATTACTTTCTATTCTACGGCAAGCCCGAGCTCAGGCTGAGCTAGCCCAGATGTGGACCTTCGTAGACGACACCGTCCTTCGAGTCGAAGGAATCCTACGCACCCTTCAGAAGCACCTCCCCCGTGCCGCCAAGACGCTCTGCGACGGTTTAAAGGAGTTCGAGCTGCCCATCTCTGACAAGACGATCCTCATCGGCTCCACCCCCAAGGTCCGCAAATCGCTCGCCAAGAAGTTGCGGCAGTACGACATCCCTGTCACAGCGACCGCCACGGCCGTTGACCTCGGAGTCGACGCGGCCGCGGCTACTCGACGAGCACAAGCAAAAGCCAGGAAGCGACAGAGCTCAGCCGCA